AGACTATGCTGAGAAGTAAAGATAAATAAAGATTGAATTTAGAAAGTATGCTATGAGTGAAAACGCTAAAAGAGGAAACATTTTGAATTTTGTTTAAAAACGCTCAAGTAGGGAAGAAATATTTTGAAAGCTAGGTTTCAAGAAAATTAGACTGTTAACGACTGGCAAAATGAATAAAAGAGGAAGAACAGGATTGGAGACATCGGCTAGAAAACCCTGTAAATAATGCACAAGTAAGGAGGTGAGAGTCAGAATTACAAGAGTCACAGTACTTGGGAGGAGGTGGGGTGTCAGTTCCAAGACATCTTCAATTTCTTGAAGAAAACTGCACTTGATGGCAAAGTAGATTAGGGAATAAAGGAATTTTAAAAATTAAGATTATTCTAAATATATAGCTCAAAAAAATGCTGACAACCCTGACTGAAATAACCAAACTGAAGATAGATACTTAGCTTTGAACATAAGTATATTTGAACTATTCAGCAAATTTCCAAGTGGAACCATCCTGCAGGCAGTTAGAACAGAGTTCAAGACAGCAGACACACAGCTTTGAAGACCGATTACGAATTATGTGAATAAATGATGCCTTTTGAAGGAGGGAAGAGCATAAAAACTTAATTTTCAAATAGCTGGCTGTTCTTCTTATAACAAGGAAAATAATCATCCTTTTAATCTAAGTGAAAACCAAGGGTCAATACGGGATGTGGCGGGCACTGCAAGGTGCCCACTGCTCTGTATCTATTTTCCCATTCTCGCTCTCTAACTGAACGCTGATGTGCTCCCCTTAAAAAATGACTTCCCAGCCTCTTTTGCACATTGTAATTCTGGAGTGAATTTGTGGTAAAGATTTTGTTTTCCTAATAGAGGCATCTCTTTCTTCTTTCTGCTTAAAATGGGCATAGAGCAGTCACTGATTATCTTAAGGAGGAAAGACATATGGCAAGCAGGAAGACACAAAGAACCCAAGTCTTTGGTGACATCTCTAAGTCATGGTACCAATCTTGAACTTGCCAGCCTTTGGACTTATTTTTACTTGAGAAAAATAAATCCCAATGGTTTTAAGTAATTGCTAGTCAAGTTTTCTGTGGCCACTCAATGTTTTCATAACTGATATAAACTAGCAAGTTATTACCTTGTAGCCACTAATGGTAGGAATATTCAAGACTGGAGACTTCAGCTACCAAGTATATCAATACCATGTGTATAGCTTCCACTCACATGAACGTAAGTGTATACATCCACACCAACAAATCTACATCTAACTTCAGAGCAATAAAAGGAGTGATTGGATAGTGAGATGACTAAGAGTATTAGTTTCAACTATACTTAGCTGCTTTATCATATAATAGATTCAAAGTAGTAAAAAAAAATTTAATTCTTGAAAAAAGAAACTATATTTACTATTTAAACTATTAATAGGCCCATATTAAAGGAGTAAAAGAACAAGCAGAAACATGTTTGT